GGGGGGGGGGGGGGGGGAGAGGGGAGAGTGAGGACGGAGGATGGTGGATTACGTCTCGGGATTCGTAAAAGAAAGGAGGGGGCGATCATATTAACTATAGAGTTGCTTAGAGGTAGGAATTGGAAATAGGGTTGAGTTTTATATGGGATGGGAGTCATATGGGTTTTTTTTATGCTCATCATGAAACATGATGCTGAGGAAAATGTAGCACTGTTGGACACGATATCTGAAATCTCATCTAGACAAGAAACCCCGTAGCATGGATTTTGCAGCTCGAACCTGAACCCAGGATATGTGTGTATTTGCGTAGACGAGCAGCAACTACTAGAACTCGGCTTGGCTGGGTTCGCCGGAGTCGAGAGGCGAGTTACGGTGATTGGGAAGTAGGGGAGAAAAGGTGAGAATTGGGATGGTGGTTTAGGCCTCGGGGTCATAAAGGAGGGGAAAGGCGTAATTATTTACTGGAAAGGCATTGATTGAAAGTAGGAATTGGAAAAGGGCTTAGTTTATATGGAGAGGGAAGAGGAGTGCCCTATGGATTTTTTTGAGCTCACCATGAAACTTAATGCTGAGAGAAAATTAGCATTCTTGAACACGATACCTAGAACCTTGCATAGACAAAAAGCCGGTATCATGACTTTCGCTACTCGAACCGGAATGCATGAATGAGTGCATATTGCGCAACTCAGCCGAGCCGAACTAAGCTTTAGTAGTTGCACTTCCAACCAGTTGCCCAGGCGAACTTAATAGTTTTGCTGGCGAGAGGAGCAACATTCGGGCAGAGTTTTTTTTTTGAATTAAAACCACGTTGGTCAGGCTAGCAAAAACTTCTACAAAATACTTTCTTGATTTCTAGTTGTGCATTATGTGCCTCTGGTTTTTTGTACGTCTTTTTTTGTGGCTCTGGTTTCATCAAGTGCTTTCGGTCCCATTTTCTAGGATGTCAGTCTTCCAAACATTTTTATCTTTTAACAATCTCTGTATTATATGCTTTAAGTTGGTCGAGCAGTAGCAGCGACGATACAGAGCCAGCCGCATATCGTCTCAAAAGAAAGGCTGATGTTGGCCCGTCAGCAGGGATATCACTTTCTCCAGGACCCGCAGCCGAAGACGTTTCGAGCGATGAAGATGAGGTCCGATAATCTCCAGAATTCTGTACTTCCAATTCCAGACGCCTCAGCTGCTTTGAAATTATAGATCGGTGTGGCACGAGATAACAGATTTTTCATAAAAATTGTTTTGGCAAAATTTGCCTCGACAGATTCTGTTAAAAAATTTTTAAAAGATTTCTGCTTAACAGTTTTCTAGGATGGATCGGAAACTCGTGCAGTAATTGCCTCGGAACCTCCAAAAAAGAAGTCTTCGGCTGGAAGCTCCCGACACTCTTCGAGAAGAGCAGGTAATTACCATAGCGATCTTAAATTTTTGGGAAATTGAATCTCCTTAGAACAGAGCGGACGATCTCGGTGGAAGGACGAAAATAAAAAGAAATAAAAAAAAAAACAGGATTTTTAAGAGGTGGGAGGGATGTTTGTATGTCCGAATGATCACATACCAAGGAAAGATAAGGTGTGCATCATTCTAAAGGAGATAGGA